CCAACATAATAATAAGACTTTGCCATATAAATGGAATCAAATGTGATACAAGTAACTGTGATTTTATTCCCATAATTATTTGATTCATATTATTATTTTAAAGTATGCAGAAATGAGTCAGAAGGAAAGCATTTTCAAAACCAGACACAATAATAAGAAAGATATGACATTCTTTAAATCAATTCTATAAAATTGGGCTCATAAATGATGAACAAAACAGAGGATAGTCACAGAAAAGTGCTTTTTGGTGCACCTGCCTTTAAAAAAAATACACAAGCCTACATTGAACATGTAAGAACTTAGAGTTACTGGACAGAGAGCCCAAGGGAAAAAGATGAAAGAAGAGGGTCTATCAGAGACACTTTAAAATAAAGCATTAAGAGCCAGTGACATATGAAAATTAATCATAATTGAATTAAAAATAAAACCTTGAAATTTTAGAGTAATTCAACTTACAAAATCATTGTATTTTACTTCCCAATCATGCACTTTTGTAAATGGTAAAATATACCTATGGTTACAATTTAGTGTGGAATCCATAAAGTAAAGACTATAATCAGAGTATAGTCATTTTAAAGAGCATGTTGTTTTCCTGGATAGAAGAAATCCAAGGAAACTGTAAAAACTTGAAAATTAATACCAAGGATCTATATCAGATTTTCAATAAGCTAATTTACTTGTCAGAAGCAGCTTCCTAGGCTTGACTATTTTCTGAGCTTACAGATTTTACTTACTTATCACAAAACAAATATAAATAGAAACTAAAATATTTTAAAAATAATGAAAAAATTGGTTTGTGCTTAGTAATTAAGAGGTTGTTCTGTTTTGCCAAACTGATGTAAAAGCAAAAACTCTATTTCTTAAATTTTCTTGAGTTTTTATCCAAATTAAAACAGTATCAGGTAATGGAACACTACTATGATTACCCCGAGATACATGTTGACCAAGAAGATACATTTACTGTCTTAGTTACCTCAGCCCATTTGTGGAACCCAGAAGTCCAAATTTTTCTGCATCCCAGCTGGCAAAAATGGCAGTTCTTCTCAGTCTCCAGCCTGTAATCATTGTTAACATACATGGTTAGGTACATCTTCCTAAAAACAAAGGAAAATTCTCTGAAGTCACTTTCTGTCATCACTTGCCAAGGAAACATTATTTACCTCTACTAATCAGTTTTCCAAAATTCTGGACAACTTCTTATTAATCAGCAGTTCCTCTGGTTAGGTCAATACCTCCAAATACCCAGAAGTCCTGATGATCTCCCAGAATAACACACCTGTTTGGAAAGGAAGGCATTCAAAAG